TATCTCAAAAAAGCAAGGTTGGTTAAACACTCAAAAATCAATTAATGTAATACATTATATTAATAGAATAAAAAAAACAAAACCATATAATCATCTTAACAGACTCAGAAAAGGCGTTTAATAAAATCCAATATTCTATCATGATAAAATCATTCAACAAACTAGGAACAGATGAGAAATTCCTCTATCTGAAAGGACATATATGAAAAACCCACAGTTAACTTTTCATTACTTAATGGTGAAAAACAACTATTTTCATGGTGACACCTAATACATTTGAAAAATACGTAAACACTGCGGCCCATAAATCCCATTCATGGATTTCTTATCCCAGAGAAATATACACTATATATCATACAGATATGTGGCATTTCAGCACCATTCTCTAGAAACAAAGTGAATGCACATCAGTAGGGGAATGGTTGCATGACCGTGGGGTATCACAACATAGAATACTGCACAGCCAGTAGAGGGAACCAAAGCAAAGCAGTGGACTTAGAGTGGTTTTAGTGAAGTTTTTCTGCATGAGAAAAGCAAAATGCAGAAAAACGTAAAACACATCTTTTGCATAAATGACAAATCCTATTTTGTATGTATATGCTATATGAAAAGTACATGGATATGGGGATATGTGGATGGATATAAATATATATGTATCTAAGCATAAGAACATATATGGGTTATTAGTGAGCTAAGAGAAAAATATGAAAGAAAATGTACTAGATTGTTCATAGAGATTATTGAGGGTGGAGTGGGGAGTAGTTGGGGAAAGTGAGGAGAAAGAGAATTAAGCAAACAGTAAAATAAAAGATTACCTTTCAAGTTCTGGAGGTTTGCTTTGCTTTTCTCAGGAACAGATCCATAGATGTTTTTCAACAGATTTTCTGGGACACAATTTATTGTTGCAGCCACATTTATTAAAAAGTATGCTTTAACAAAAGAAAACTTATTTAAGAGATGTTTTTGGCCAATTGTAACCAGAGTTTGAGGCAAGCCTTTATTTATTAATTCATCAAGTGCCTAAAAAAATGAAAAAGGAATTTAAAAATGGAAATAAGTAAAATGTTTTCTTAGATATTATTAGCTTCAGTCCCCTTTTGCACTTCTCATTTGGTTTTGGGTAAAAGAATACAGGGATAGATAGATACGAGGTACCATAAATGGCTGGTCTATTGACAGAAACATGTAATGTCAGAACCATCCCAACAGTTTAATGGCGCTTCTGCCATTCCCCACCAATTTGTAACCTGTGCCTCATGAGCCCAGCCCCACCACATAATGAGAGTGAACCTGTGCTGAGAGCAAGGGAGGAGATACTTTACCAAAGTAGAGAAACTGCAAAAGCCCATCGGCCATGCATGCTGGCCACTCTGCTTTAGTGTGAGTAAATACTGGAGCTACTAGGACAGGAACAGGAAGAATGGGTGGGCAAGCAAGCTCCCTACTCAGCTTAGATTCCACGTTCAATCATTAGAACTCCACCCAGTGCACAACGTCAACTCCCTGGCCCCTCTCCCATGCATACACATTTCCTTGGCAAAGCCATATCCCTGTGAAAATAAAATGCTGAACCTTCTTGGGGACATGCACCCTGCAGTGGCTGAATGCTGGAGAAACTCCTGCAGTCATGACAAGTGGTCTCACTTTAAGTTCCTGACCAAACCTCAGGGCTGCCTCATCATCATTCTACATTTTCCCGGTCCATTCACTCTCACTCTCTCCTAAACAACCATCTCCCGCTCTTCTTGTTTCTAAATTCTAACCCTCCCTCCCTGATGCCCCTTCCAGCTAATGACCTTGCTTCCTCTACTTAAGTGAGAAAACTGAAGCAGTGAGAGTAGAGTCTACAGACCCCCATATCTTCCCAGCTACCCAAGCATGTGCCCCCTACTCTCCCCCTTCCTTCAAGTCACTTAGGCCATCCATTCTGTCTGCTGGTCTACTCAGCCATTCTCTCCTACATCATAAATGTTCCATTTCTACAGAGATGCTCCCATCAGCACTCAGCCATGCTGTCTTCTTCTTCATCTTAACAAAAACTCTCTATACCCCAACTTCCTCTCCAGCTACTACCTCAAATCTTGCTCCCCTTTACAGCACAACCTAAAGAGTTGTCAGTATTCCAATTTCTCTCCTTTCATTGGCTTATAAACCCACTCAGTCCCTACACTGAAACCCTTTGGTCAAGGTCACCGATGGCCTACACTTGACTAAATCCAATGTTCAATTCTTAGTCCTCATATGTCATATTACTTATAATCTAAGACATTATCTCATATTCCAATTAAACTGTCACATGTCCTCAACAGTAAAATTCAT